CATATGCTTTCAGAGCAGTAGTGTGAGGAAGCTTGAAGTGGGATGGCAGGACGGCCTCATCCTTATGACAGTAACTCCAGTGACCCAGAGAATTGGGATCGGAAATTGCATAGTAGACCTCGTAAACTTTATAAACATTCAAGGTAGGTAGAAAATATGTATTTCACATATCAAAGTTCTGATAAAATTCACCTTTATAAAGAACCAAACTGCATTTGGTTGTGGCAAGTCCTGCAGGGGTTGGGGGCTGGTTTACAAAGAATTATGTTTGCATTCCTCCTTAAAAAACTTATACAGAAGCATTTCTTTCCTTTTAATTTTCTTTTATTTGTATTTATAATCTTCTTATATTTGTATTTATTTGAATTTTTGTTTCTAAGTAATGTTAAAATCTCCTTAGTGATCCTGTGGATAAATGCTATAATTAATTTAACTGTGAACCCTGGCAAGACAGGTTAGTTCTTTGTATTTAAAACTCTCTAGTTGAAATTTATTTTGTGTTCTAAGTATATTATCTGTGTAGATTATATATAATAATTTACAGGCTATGTCATATTTTGCTGTCATCTCGATACTAATGGGAAAATCAGTCTTTCTGCAATGACTCTACAGGTTCATTTAAAGTTTGATGCATTGAATGAAATTCATTTCAAAAATTTCGGCCCATTTATATATTATATGTAAGGCTTTCATTTTGTGCTGTGCAGCTTAATGAGGAATACTTCATTTAGAACACTTCATTATCTGATAATTTACTGTGTTAATTGGCAGCTCATAAACCTCACATGTTGCAGGTATGTAAGCATGTTTTCCTATAGAGTATTGTGCTTTGTGAATATTTACTTAGGGAATATTAACAGGCATTTAACTTACTTGAATGTAAAATTCTAATCTGATAACTGTTAGTAGTTTTCGTGACAATGCCATGATATTGAAATCCTGTTTGAAATTTTTTTTTTTTGAAATCCTTTTTGTAATTTTAAAGAAATAATCCAGGTACTTTCAAACCATATGCTGTAGCTAGAAAATATGAGAAATCAGTACTTTTTAAAAAAATCTCCTGACAAGATGTCTGTCTTTATTGTGGACTTTTAATGTGGTGAGGTCTTGAGTGAAAAAGTTAAGTTGACTTATTAATTTATAAGGGCACAGCAATGGTATGAGTGTTTTTTGCTTTGTTTTTTTGGGTGTGTGTGTGTATGTGTGTGTGCTTCAACCGGTGCTCTAGTACTTTTTCTTTATCCTGCTTATATGGATAATTATTTTGTCTTTGAGATTAAAGAGAAATTAGTTTTATCTCATTAAGTGTGGGCTATTTATATCTGCTATGTTGTATACATTTTCCAGGTGAATTCTATGTTTTCCTTTCTAGTTCTTAATATTTTTTTACTAACGTACAGTACTACATTATATGTGAAATGGTGACTTCATATATAGGTAAAAATAAGCTATTGTTTATTTTATAAAAGGTGCATGCATACAATGAGGAAAATTTATAAAAACTAACAGTATTTTTTTCCATTCCTGTATCTCAGTGATAAATATCATAGCTCTTCTTGATAGCTATAGCATCAGTAACTTTTTGATGCTTTTTTTCACATAGACTGCATCAATATTGGTTGTTTCAGTGAAAACTATTAAAGAGAAATAGAAAAAAAATACCAATACATTATTTGTTTTAAATGAAAAGACCGTGAACTCCTTTGGGCTTATTTTAACCACATTTATGGAAATTCTGCCCAAGGAAAAATAGCTTACTTTTAGAGACCTCTTGATCTTATACACTTAGGAATATATGACTTAGGATACTTTAAAAATGTATACAATTTGACTTTTTAAAAATGGCATTTTTTTGGAATCGATATTAAATTAATTGGGAGATTTTAAAAACTAACAATCAGCAAATATTAGATGTTAAGAACTTGTAGTCATTGCAGGAGAGATTCAGAAGTTTGTCAGGGTTCAGGTTGCCTGGGTGGCTCAGTTGGTTAAGCAACTGACTCTTGATTTCTGCTCAGGTCCTGAGTTCGTGGTTTGTGAGATCAAGCCCCGTGTTGGGCTCTGTGCTGATAGCACAGAGCCTGTTTGGGATTCTCTTTCTCCCTCTCTCTGCCCCTCCACATGCATGTGTGTGCATGCACTCTCTCTCAAAATAAATAAAATGAACTTAAAAAAAAAAACTTTGTCAGGGTACCAGCATGGAATGCTTTAATATCCACACGTGGAGCAATTAGAGGACAACAGGGCACCGAACTGTGGTAGTGAGTTGTAGTAAAATAAGAGTTCAGAGAAGGATTCAGTATCAACTTGAGTGGGTAAAAATGACACTTGAACTAATCTTTGGATGATTAGGTAGATGGAGGACATTCCTGCCAGGGACTTTCTGTAGGTAACTGTGACTAGATTGGAAGGTGGAGCTCTATGAATAGTAAGTATTACCGTCCCCATTTGACAGATGAAAAAAAAAATGATGTTAATAAACTTGCCCAAGACCATCCAAATTCTAAATGGCAAAGTTAAAATTTATAACCAAGTTTCTCATTCTTTTTATTTTTAAAAATGTTGATAACTTATTATGGTACATTTTAAATATATGCAAAGTAGAGAAAACGGGTGTAATAAACTCCTCTGTACATATCTCTCAACTTCAGGTTGTATCAACTCATGACCAGTTGGGTTTCATTTATGCTTCTACCTACTCTCATCCTTTTTTTTTTTTTTTTTTTTTTTTTTAATCTTTTGTATTTTATTTAGGGATATTTAAGTGAAAGAAAGCCAGACTAAACACTGGTTAAAGTTAGAGGTTTGTTTTTCTTTTATGTAAGTTCACAAGTAGGCAATACTTGATGTGGATTTAGTGGCTTAAGTATATTAGGATCAAAAATCTCTGATATTCTTTGTTTTTTCTCATGATTGCAAGATGGCTCCAGCCATCATGTCCACCTTCCAGACAAGAATGAGGGAGAAGGGAGAAGGGGGCAATGGGAAAGGGGTTTCATTTGTATTAGGAAATTAAAATTTTCAGAAATTTCTAGCAGGCAGGCATCTACTTATAAATCGTTGGCTAGAACTATGTCATATGGTCATCTCTGGATCATAGAGGCTAAGAAATATAGATGGTCATGTTGCCACCTGAAACTGAGTTGGGGATTTAAATTTATAAAAAGTAAATGTCTTAGTCTGTTCATGCTGCTATAAGAGAATACTGTAGATCAAGTGACTTGTAAACAACAAATTTATTTCATTATGGTTCTGGAGGCTAGGAAGTCCAAGATTAGGGTGCTGGCACATTTGATATCTAATAAGGGCTCCCTTCCTGGTTCAGACAACTCTCTCTTTGCTGTGTCCTCACATGGTAGAAGGGGCTAGGAATCCTCTGGGGTCTTTTTTATAAAGTACGAATCCAATTCATGAGGGCTTTGTCCTCAACCTAATTACCTCCTTACCTCCAAATACTATCACATTGGGGGAATACATTTCAATACGTGAATTGGGGGGGGGGGGCACAAACCTTCAGTCTTTAGCAGCAAAGAAATGAGCATTCCTTATCTCTTAGTGATTCAGTTTTTACACATAATTTAAAAAGTTGTCTTGTTTAAACTTATATTTTGTTCTATTCCCATTTTGGAATTGCATGCATTTTTCAGTCTTTTTTTCTCCCCCACCTTTACTGGCAAGTGTAAAAATAAATTTCTTGAATTCTAAAAGTAATAACAATAGTGACTATATAGGTATGCTTACCAGTGAGGTTTGAGGGTTTAGTGGGCATTGCCTTGTGGTTTCATTTCCATCTAATAAACTTTAAGGTACTTTCTTCTCTGAATTTTCTTTTGAATGTAGATTTGGTATGTATAGCATTGTGATATAAAAGACAAGACAAGGAAGCTAATCTCAACATGGATGTACTTCAGGGTGTCTCTTCCCTCTGGCTTAAGCAAGTGCATACAAATAAATGGGTTAATAAATTACTGAACTTTGTTTCTTTTTGAGTAGTTGTGTAGTTAATATTTGTGTAGAGGCCCTTGTAGCTTGCTGAAAGATCCATTTCAGCTGAAGTGTATTTGGCCTGAATTGCAGCAGCTTTCTTTATAAATTACAATAGTTTTTGTATTTAAAAAGGAAAAAGAACACCTTTTCTGTACAACTAGCATTAAAATGGCTAGATTGACAATATGCTTATTAAAAGCTCTTGAATATTTGAATTGGGTTAAATACAACTATTTAAAACTCAGAGCTGCAGTCTGCTCAGGTTACTAAAGATAAACGTATCATACATTCAATATCAGACTTTGCTGCAAGGTTTCATTCCCACATACAAGTACGCATGCTCATTTCCTCTGAGACTGCGTGAAGATTGAGCTTTACAGTTTCCTTTTTAAGCCACTTTGTAGTCTCAGTTTAGAAATAGAAAAGTTTGGTTACTTTAAAGAATAGTTCTTGAGTGGATTCTTAAAGTACACAGAATATTTTTCCTTTGTTTTTTAAAGAAAAGCTTTACTGTCCAGAATGAGTACACAATAAGATATTGAAAGGAAAAGAAGAAAGTTAGCTGCATCCTAGTTTTCTAAAACCTGGCAAGCTGGCAGAGCTAGAATTAGCATTACAGATGGCATTTGGCAACATAGCTACATATCACTAAGCCCTCATCTCCTGAGTTTTCTTCAGCCTGTCTATCAATTACAATATCCAATCACTGCACAGAGATGGAGAAATGGGATGATCACAGCTCACACGATGCTGTTTGGTTAGAAACGTCAGTGCTGCACAACCCACGGCTGAGTCAGTGTCTGTGAGAAAATGAACTGAATTAATATGTAGAGGGGGTTGTATCTCTGAACATTTGCAGCCTAAATAACCGCAATAGCATTATTACATAGTAGAGGGAGGAAAGCTAGAGGAAGTCTGTGGACAGGTGAGGTAGGGGGAGACTGCATATTTTCTGATGTTCAGAAGAATCTTGAAGATGATGGAAATATCAGATGTGCTAAAGTTTCCTAGTAATGCCCAAGGATGCTGACCTGGCTTTCAGTGCTGCATTGTTTGAAAAAGCAGAGTCCCTTTATACTCTGATTTCAGAATTTTTTTCTTGTTTTTGTGTGTCTACCTTGGCATATACTAAAGTAAGGTGTGTATTCATTTATTACATGATATCACTGGGTTATAATTCTATACATCTATGACTATGAGAGAGATTGAGAAAGATGTTTGGCCTTTATTTCATTATGATCATTTACTTTTCTGGATGAAAAGATCATATGTCTTGTCAGCTTAATGGCAAGTTATTTAAAATAAATTGAGTGTGTTTTTACTGTTTTCATGGGTTTGATGCTTTGTTTTTTATTTCGTTTAAAGTGTTAGTAGAATCTTCATGTAACTTGAGAATGCATTATGTTTGGTATTGTTTTTTATGAATATCATAAAAAATTTAAGGAAAGGCTAATTTAAAATAATATTTTTAATATGTTTGAAAATTAAATTCAAGATATACAAATAAAATCATTGAAATAATTTCCTAAAGAAGGGGGTAAATGCATTTTTACTTTTGGATGAATTAATCATTAGTTGAACCACTTACATGTAGTAGTATTTTACAAAACTGAATACATTTGAATGATGACTTTTAATTGGTTAAAATGACTTTTTTTCTAGTCTTTTAGAACGTAGACTCTGAATAAGATGCTGCCATTGAAATAGAGAGTAAATCAGATAAGTTTTTGGATTATTGCAAATTTATTTTCAACCACACAGAATTTATAAGTAAAGATAATTGTTCTTGTTATGAGATTTTCAATCTTAACAGGTGACATTGCTTACTTTATTTATATTTGGAAATTTTAGCTCAGTATTAAACAATTTGACTAATTTTTTTTCTTTTGTCTTCATTATCCCTAGCCTACTGACCCTTCATTTTGTGGGGGTTGGGGTGGGGGGGAGAATATACATTTTAACATTTTTTTTGTTTTTAATGATTTTAAATGGTTCATAACAGACTTTCCTTGAAATGATGGGAAATCCTTGTGATTTCCCCCTATTTAATTTTTAAAAGTTTGAATGGTCATCTTAATGGTTGTCATGACTTATTTATATATTTAGGCTAACTGGTATCTTGTGTTGGCTTTTTTTGTGGTTTGGTGACCAGAAATGTTTTTCTAAGCTTGTTTTAGAAATAGAGTTATAAAAGCAGAAATCTCAAGCTAGACCTTTTTGTCTAATACTTTATAGAATATTTTCTTTGGTTTTGTTGGTTCTTTTAAAATAATAATGCCTGTGTTATTGTAAAAGTGATACATATTCATTACATGAATTTATAAATATAGAAAGCACATAGAAGAAAACAAAAATGTTATGCTGTGATCAAAAGAAATATACTTTAAATATTTTTGCATCTAACCTTTTTTTGTGTATATAAAAATATAAAATCACACATATCTTTAAAAGTGGTTTTGAATTATTACTACTGTATATACTGTTATATAACCCTTTTTTTAAACAATCATGAACATCCCCTTTGTCACGAAATAGTCTTTTATAGCATAATTCTTAAGAACTGCATAGTGTTTTGTGTGTATATATTTTTTAACTTGCCAATTTGAGTTTTCCCAACTTTTGATTAGAGAAAAGATCATCATGATTCTATAGGATAAATTTCTCTTAAAAAGGAATAATGTCTTAGGGAGTTAAGTAAAAATGTAATTTTGATATTTTTTGGACGGAAAAAGATCCTTAGTGTGATTACACAATAAACTCTTTAAAGATATGCACTACTTTTAAAACAGAGCAAATAGCTAAGATTGCCATAATAAAGTTTATAAAAAATAAATCTTTATGAAAATTAGGAAAGCAGGAGCTCAAATGAGCTGAGATGTTTAAAAAATGCTAAGACCAACCAAAGGGTTTCTTATAATACATTTAAAAAGTAATCAAGGAAAGTGTAATAATAATGCCTAGCAATGAAGGAAGAGAAAAAATCCCTTAGCTCTTAGGAAGCTTCTCTTTTAAAGAGGAAGAACAAACCACCACTACCACCAATAATACATAATAAAGCAAACATTGCTATGAAGGACATAAAAGACAACATGGGGATAGAGATAAAGAATGCATCTAGTTAAATGGATTACCTTCTCAGCTAGTTGAAACATCTTAACCTTTACAAAAGGAAATGCCTATAAAATTTTAAGCTTATTGGTATTTGTGGGTTCTAAAGGTTTTAGAATACAAGAAGTACTAAAAGATAGGGGAATCTAGGTCTGATTTTGAGAAGTAGAAGATTTTAGAACAAAAAATGAAAGGGTAGTTTTATGACTAACTTGAAGAAAAATAGGTTAAAAATGATCCAGAATGGGTTTGCTAAAAATAGATGGTCAGAGCAACTTTGATTTTTTTTCTGATGCAGTTGTTTGACTAGTAGCAATATAATGTATTTGGACTTAAGCTTCGTTTTTGGTAAAGTCTTTTTTTATATCCTTGGGTGTATGGTGAAGGAAAAATGAGTTAGCTACAAGTTGATTATGTTAACATGATTTCAATTTTGAATGACCCTACCCAAGATTACTGATCTTGGAAGGTGGCTTTGTTCTTTGCTTTGTCTCGTTGCGCATCTGGAAAAGGCAAATTAACAAATTTATAGGTGACCATGAACAAAGAAGGACAGTGCATGATCAATTAAATGATCCAGTATGATCTCTGAGTTGGTATTGTTGGACTAAATTAAAATGAATTTTCTTTTTGGAAATCTACGTAAGACCTGAAAAACACTAACATACATTAAGTTAGCATGGCTTTAAAACACTGCACATGGAAAAGACCTGGGGGTGGTTTTTGGCAGTAAACTTGATACAAAAGTACAGTATAACTGCCATCATCCCATTTTCTCCCCCACCCTCCCCACTAAAAAACCATCATAATTAATGGAAAAGAAGGCTAGAGCCACTCTGCTGTACACCAAACTATTGTCTTCAGTTCTATGTATATTCAGAGGAAGGATGTGAAGAAGTTAGAAACCTTGTAAGTTTAAGGAACTGATTAGAGGTCTTGGGGGCAACCCTGATTGATATTAAGGAATCTCGTTATAAGAGGCATCTTCAGATATGTGAAGATTTGCCCTTTGGAAATGACATTAGACTTGGTTTGAGTCAGACTTGTTTGAGATTGAAGGCATGAGCTCTAAAATTGAACTGCTTCGTTCCCATCTCAGACCTGCCACTTAATTTGCTATTTGCACCTAATTTTAGGTGAATTCCTTAGCTTCTAAAGCTTCCATTTTCTTGGGGAGCCTGGGTGCCTCAGTTGGTTGGGCATCTGACTGCGGCTCAGGTCATGATCTCACTGTTTGTGGGTTCGAGCCCCGTGTTGGGCTCTGTGCTGACAGCTCGGAGCCTGGAGCCTGCTTGGGATTCTGTGTCTTCCTCTCTCTCTGCCTCTCCCCCAGTCATGCTCGGTCTCTCTCTGTCTCTCAAAAATAAAGCTTCCATTTTCTCAACTGGGGATGGTTTTGAGGATTAAATGAAAATATATGTAAGGTGCTCAGAATTGTGCCTGGCATGTATTAACTGCTTAGATCTTAGTGTTGTTGTTATTGTTATTTGGTCCTAGTAGATAGGGCTAGGACAGTGGTTTTCAACTAGAGGCATGATTTTGCCCCTCATTTGGCTGTGGCAATGTCTGAAAGACATTTTTGGTTGTTAACAACTGGGAAGAGGGAGTGCTACTCATACCTAGTGGGTGGAGGCCAGGGGTGCTACTAAACATCCTACAAGGCACAGGACAGTTCCCCCACAACAAAGAATTAACTGGCCCAAAGCCCTGAACTAGGGTTGGATGACAAGGTTTAATTAAGCTTTAATGTTAAGAAAAACCGTCTAAGTCAGAGCTTTCCAAAGGTGGAACAAAACTGTTTAAAAAAAAACAAGTTACCCTTCCCTGTCATTTACAGCAATAGGTCAGCCAATTCATGAGAACTTGGTAGATGAGATTCAGAAACGAGATAGGTGTTTAGATTACATTTCTAAAAGGGTTTTCCTGAACTTAGATTCTGTGTTTCTATAGTTATTTCTCATGATAATACTTAGGCATATTGAATGCCCGGTGTCAAAAGGCCTCTGATGTAAATTCTCTCATTCTTTAATTTTATCAATCTAGTTTAGTTTAGCAGGGTAGTTTAGATTTTTAATTTAATTTAATTTTTATTTATTTTTTTAAGGTGGTTTTATTGAAGCATGGAGACAGGACTCATGGGCAGAAAGAGCTGCCTAGATTGTTAATTTTAATTCTTTTACTGCTTAAAATTTTAGCATGAGGCATAGAGAAGGGAATTTAATGGAATAAGTCTGTTTTCAAAAGGACATTTGGAAATATGAGTGATTGTGGAGTTGCTATAATTTCTCTCTAGAAAGGTGTTTTGTGAAACTAATTAGTTAAAATATTCACAATTTGATATATATTTCTAAAATGAAATCTTGTATTTGTATTTCATACCTTTTTTCCCACTGTTTTATTCCCCCCTTTAGTAATAAGTAGGATGGGTGCTCCAAAAGGTTTTTAAAAATAGTAATTTTTGAAGCACCTTTAACAGTATGTGATTATGTATGCATTATAATATTACTCGCAGTCATGAATAGCAACTGGCATAAAGTACTCAGTATATATTTGTTGAATGAATGACTAATTAATAGATACAAAATATATCTGACCATTAATTTAGATCTGTGCAGTTTTTAATAGTGGTTAGCTATATTTTAAAGCTACTTTATAATTTTCTATGGTAGGGAGCTGCTTGAGAATGTCAAGTATTTGGAGATTCCAATTCTTAAATTTTTATCTCTAACCCGGACCTTTCCCCGGAACTTTAGACTTATGTGTCTAACTCCTTATTTGATGTCTGCATTGGATGTTGAATAAACATCTCATTCTTTAACATGTCTATGATATATGTATCCTTTTCAAACCTAAGCTTCCCACTGTCATTCTCATGCAGGAAATGGAACTTCCATTCTTTCAGCTGCTCAGACCAAAATCATAAAGTCCTCCTTGACTCCTCTGTCTCATATCCTACATTTGATTTCTGAAATTTCAAAGTCTTTTTTTAAATGTTATTTTTGAGAGAGAGAGAGAGAGAGAGAGAGCGTG